CAAACTTGTAAAAAAAGATCATGAGAAAGAGGTTAAAGGCGATGAAATTAAGGACCTTAAAGAAGCCGTTCAAAAAAACGGAAAAGAAAAAGACACTTCCAAAGTTTTGGGAAACGATAAACAAAAAAAAACTATCTTAGCTGTCAAACTTGAACAAGAAGATCAAATAACTTCAAAACCAAAGCCATTAACCATTACCACAAATTCTACCACAACCTTCTCTTCAGCACCAGTATTAACATTTACAACGTCTACAAAACGTAAAAACGGTTTATCCGATGATACCTTAAAGATTAAACGTAAACTTTCTTTTGAACAGCAACAAAAGGTTTCTAATAATGCTCCCCCAACTCCTGACGAGTTATCGCCTATTTCTCCGACAGTTGACGCAAATTTAAGACGTGGTACAAAGCGTATGCGCAGTTCTACGTCAACCTTTACGGATCCACCCTTAGATTCATCTCCTGTCTTTTTGTTACTTGATTTTGTAAATCGTCTTCCATCTGATCCGAGACGTTTGTCTCGTGAAGAACTATTAAGAGCTGGAACTTGGTTGTTTGATACATTGCTAACGAAATCTTTTTCAAGACCTTTCGTTAATCCTGTATCTGAAGATGCTATATTATATCGTAGTATTATTCCACGCTTAATGGATTTAACTACAGCCGAGAAAAGATTATGGGCTGGAAAATATAAGGATCTTAATAGTTTGTACACCGATGTTATTCAAATCCTGTCGAATGCTTTCACTTTTCATAATGAAGGTGGTGAAATTTATGAAGAAGCAAGACAAATGTGTGATTACTTTGTAAAACATTTACACCCTCAATTAACGTATGTATATATTTATTTATTATTTCATTAAATATCATTGTTATTCATCCAATAATCTTAAATTCCAGTAAGTTCGTTTTTGGTGATGATCCATTACGTATGAATGAGTTGATGCCTTTACCTCATGAAGAAATTTTTACTATACCCACTTTTTCGTTTGAGAATCTCAAAAATTCAAAGTAATTTTCATTATATTTTTTTTATTAAAATTTATTAAAATTTTTCATTCAAGTAATATATATATATATATTTCTTTTTTTTAGGTCAATATATGTTGTCCCAACAATGAATTATAAAAGGATGCAAACTAATACTCAAGCAATAAAAAAATCAATTCCATCTGGAGTACTTGATCGACTTGTTAATTTCAATCATGGAGTGTTGGAATACTTTAAAGATGGAACTAAACCATCAACTCCTAAACTCAATATATCTTCCACTACAAGAGATTATCTTCGAATTTATATAACTAAAGGTTTAACCATGATGACCGAATGTATAGATGATCCTAATTCTATTGTAGTGATCATGGGAAATATGAAATTCATCCGTAAAGAGAAACGTTTTCGCTTTGATGCTTTATTTGCAAGACCATTTGGAAAAACTCATGATTTGGATACC